AAGTGGAAGAAGAAGAGGAAGAATATGGGTCTCTCTCTTTTTTTTGCTGGATATTTCTCTCTCGCCGGATTTTTCGCCAAATTTCTCTCTCTTGATGAAGAACAATATGGTGGAGAAAACGGAGATGGTGGTAGTCAAAGACCACGGTGGCGACTGTGGACAAAGACAATGTCGGTAGTTGTGGACAAAAACAGAGACGGAGATGGAAACATCGATGGACAAAAAAAAGAGACACTTGTGGGGGATAAAAGTGATTGCCGGATACTGAAAAGGCAGTTGTGGACAAAATAGAGACGGATACGGTGGTAGGCCAACATGAAGACAGTCGGTGTTGACCGAGGCAGTGGTTCACGATGACGGAGATGGTGGTTGTGAACATAGATGGTGACGATGGCCAAAAACGAAATCATAATTAAGAGTATAAATGTCTTTTTTATTTCGTGAACAGTGATTTGTGGTATTTTTTGAGAATTTTTGAATAAAAGGCATTTGTCAAACATTTTTTCAAACAAATAGCATTTTTGGCAAAAATTCTTTTATGTTTTTATTTGAGATATTTATATGTTTTGGAACTCCATGATGAAGGGTCATTCCATATTTGGATAAAAAATAGTATAAATTTACCATTGAAAAACAATGAGAAAGATATCAACTAATAACATGGTCTAACACTTTAGAGTCATTGCATATTTGGATAAAAAATAGTATAAATGTACCATTGAAAAACAATGAGAAAGATATCAACTAATAACATGGTCTAACACTTTAGATACAAAAATTTTACATCCAATATTTGTCTATAATAGACGCTTTAAATTCCTGCGAAGATAAAAAAATAAGTGCCCATAAAATAATCGATATAAAAAAAGAAGAAGAACGTATTGGGAGATCCTGAAACAAATAACACGTTAACACAAGATTAAAAAAAAAAGAGAATAGTATTAAAACGATAAGGAACGAATCAATGAACCCAAGTCCTTAAGGTTTTTAATCTCCTTTTAGTTTTTGGTTTTAATCTCTTTTGTCTCCCTAACCTAAAACAATAGAAAACACAGTCACAAATCACAATGTTAGATTTAAAACAGTAGCAATATCGTAGATTGACAACTGTGATATAGCTAAGAAACAATATAATAGTACTTACTTTGATATCAAAGAACACAAAATCTAGAGAGAAAAAAAATAAAAGAAATCAGATCAAAAAGTTAATTAATGACTATAAAAATAAGAACAACTCACAGATATCTACGATATAGAAACAGAAAAATATCAAACCATAATAATTATCTAACAACAATAAAACTTGCAGAAACATCAACTAACGACTGATAAATCTTGAAAATAAATAATATATATGAACAAATCAAAATAACAAACATGTTTGATGTTTCAACAAAGAAAGCAAACGTGAAGAACGATCATCAATGACCACATTAGCACATGCGAGAATAAAAAATCATTAGGTTAAATAAGCACCAACATATAATAGAACAAACCTTACGCCTAGTATTTATATAAAGTCCTCAAAACAAATCATGGACCATAGAAAAAGAAATTCATACCTGGATTAGTGAATATGATATCTGATGATATCTGCAAGAAGCAATAACAAATTAAGAAATAAAAAAATAAAAACAACGAATTAGGGAACCCAATCTCATAGTGATGCTTAAATTGAAAAAGAAAAAATGTATCATATTCTTTCACTTCGTCAACGAATAAGAAAAAATCAATGGCATTTAGTTTGTTGTCAATGGCATTTAGTTTGTTGTGTTTATTAATAGTGAATATTGAAAAATGTATAATGCCATATATAGTCACAAATGAATTAGAATTTGTTCATTAGTTATTTATATAAATGATTAAATGTGGAAATATAACATTTTAAAATTAAATATTCTCTATGTATCATTTTAAATGATTTTTAAGGTTTCTTTAATTTTCTATTTTTCAACATAAAACACTAATTCCAATACAATTCAACCAATAGAAAATTAATCTGCAGAATTTAAAGAGTCAAAAACAACAAAAATATAATTAATTTTACTTTGAAAACTTAAAACATCATCTAATTTGGACAAAAAAACTCTCTAAAAAATCATCTAATATGATACGGAGGGAGTATATCATTATTTTCTAAATCTTTGTTAATAACGAAATATTTTTTTTGTCAATATATTAAAGTTTTATTAGTTTTAGAAAATTAATCCTTGAAGTTTTTAATTTAAAAATTAATTTTTGTAAAATTCCGCAAGAAAATCGAATTACAAAAAAATGATTCTAATTATATGTATAGTTAAATGTAAATCCGAAAATTTGAATATGGAAGATTTTACTGTTATTAAGAAAATAACAAATCTCGTGATTATTGGTAATAAAATAAGTTACTTGCTAAAATTCCGAACACATTTATTATAATATGAGTTTATAGAAATATTCGTAAGGCATTTAAATTTATTTATGTAATGGCAAGTTTTTAATAATGCTCTATATAACTCGGATTGATTATATTACGAAAATGTCATTAATGAAAAACGCGGATCACGAAACGCGTAGGATCCGCGTCCTTTTAATCAGATCCAGTTAAGAAAATGTCCGAAATTAATCTTAAAATTACTACAATTGCCATTTTATCTTACCAAAATTATCCTTTTCAATTTAGTTTTAAAGCAATAACAATTTGAGTAATATTGAGATATATTTTGGATATTCTCCTAAATGTACTTCTGTTTTTATATTATAGAGATTGAAAATATACGGATAAAATTAATTAATTATATTTTTTCGTTTCTTCAAAAGATTCCAATAACTTTTTTATCAAATTAAAATTTTGATAAAGTTATATCTATTACTTGATTTAATTATGCAGTTTAATTTAATAACCAAATTAAATGTTTAGTTTTGGATGCCTATGAGATTATGCTTCACCAAAAAGTTATAACTACTTTTTATAATATGTATTTGGTCTCAAATTCACTATCATATCTGATGTGGGATTTTTACAAACATTGTTTTTTTTCATATGTTAAGTAATTTATGTTCTTAGAATGAAATTTGGTTTTTTGGCATCTTTTCAAATAATTATAATAAATCGGATCCTAAAGATCTTATGAGATTATTTTTACTTTGAATATCCGTTTATTGTTTAGGTTTACATCTCCAAGATTAATTTAGG